TATCGGGGGCTAGGCAAATAGTACTAGCATAACCGCTGATTATTGTTTGAGCTTTATTCAAGTTGTACGTAGTTATTTTAACTATCGGGTGGCTAGATAAAAATACTATCGAAATATTAACATATTTCATAGTACTAGCATAACCGCTGATTATTGTCTCAGCTTTAGTTAAGTTGTACGTAGTTATATAACTATCGGGGGCTAGACAAATGGTACTAGCATAACCGCTGATTATTGTTTTGAGCTTTAACTAAGTTGTACATGGGTAACTGTAGGGGGCTAAACAGAACTACTATTTAAAGAATGGTAAGCATGGGCGACCTATTAAATAGTATTAGTCATAACCTCTGGCTAATGATCAGACTGGCGAGTTTGTGATCGTGGGGCCCACGCATAGCGGCCGCGGTGAGGCACCCTGAGCGACATAGATTCCTAATGAACGAGTAAATATAAAGTAAAGAGTTAACTAGAATAACCAAATGTCAGAAAAGTAATAATAATAACTAGAGACCGACAAACAACCAATTTGCCTTTCAACCTAAATTTGAGGGCATACTAAAATGGAGTCAGATTAGAATTGAATTTAAAATTGAAAAACTTTGCGCGCTGAAAAGACCGAACACGCAAGAAACCTTCAGCCACCACTGGATACCTAAGTGTGTGGACCTTACACTTTATAACAACCCCAACGCTTTACAAAAGGGTTGAATCATTATCACAAGGGGTTTTGACTATTGTTTCCTTTTACTCATTTGTCAAAAATGTAAAACACAGAAACAGCATGATTGCAAACACATCAAAGTCCCCAAACAACACTGTATTGAAAATATGAGGCAAATTAGACACTTGTTAGACAAATGCAAAGATAACCCAATCCGTTTTATAAACCCAAATGAAATAGTAATGTATAGCGAAAGTTCATGAGTAGGCTTGTTGCCCACAACCCAACAGTCTTTTCAAGCAAAAAAATAATAATAAAGATGATACTCAACAGTCCTTTTCTGCTTTGGGGTAGAGAGGAAATTTAAAGTCCTGATGAAAAAACAATGTCCCCAAAAAGAGAAAAAATATAAGTCCACTGGTTCAAGGCCCCAGAAAAAACAGGTTATCCTCCAGCTGTAAAAAGTCCCCAGAGTATAGTCCAAAAACGTATATCCCCGACCAGAGGGTGCCCCTATGAAATTGTTTCAAAGTCTGATATACAATGTCTCTATTCCAAGAGATCACATTAGACAATTACACAGAGCTAGTTTAGCCAAAAAAAAACAAGCCACCTCACCAAACACAAAAAGCTTCCTTTAAAATGGCCGCCCTTTCCCTCTTATTCATAGGCCCACCATAATAAGAGTCCTTAGAGGCCAACAAAAGTCCCCCTCAAACAAAATGCATGTGCAAATGCTCAAAAACCAGGGGCGGACTTACCCATTAGGCAAAGGTAGGAGACCACCTTGGGCCCTCAAAAGCCAAGGTTCCCCTAAAATGCTTTTCATATAGGATATGCGCATTAAGCGCTGACACACGAACGGTTGCTGTTTACTGTGTTTATTACCACGACAACCGTCCAACGTGCTTTTTGTGTACCCTGCTTGAAGAAGATGAAAATATTATGCATCTGAAGCTGTAATTAAATATTGAGAAACAGTGTGTATTATATGTTTATAATTGTTTTAAATGCTGCTTACTCATTTATGAGAAGGAACCAAGTAGAGGACACAGTTACTTTTTTGGTTGATATAATCCTTAGGTGTGTAAATATACAATTGCCTTTTCATAGTTTTTTCAGTTTTATTTAAATTTGTAGTTAAAATAACTAAAAATAAATGTATTTTAAAGTTTAGTATTAGGCACACAGGCTTACGCTGGTAACTCATCAGTGGACTTTCCTCGTCAATATAGGCTATATTTTTTTCACACTTTTCTCATTCTATATTTCTGATGTTCCAAAAGCGCCTCCTACTGGCAGAGAATGAATGTTAATTTTCAATAATCCGGTCTGTAATTTTTGTTCAGATCAATGCGAAAATCCACCCACATAACACCGTTTTAAATTAATATAATAATTTATACTTCTGGCTCACCCCTGGTTTAAACGCTCAATTGTGAGGTTTATCATTTTATAATTTATTTTGTTTTTGTGAAAACCTGTATCTCAACTGTAAATCGGTTGCTATTTCATGGTCTACAACATGAAAGAAAGCCATTATAATATGTACATGAAAAATGTAGAAACATTGGACACAACTATGGGGCACCATTGTACAGCAGCAAGCATCACAACAAAAAAGGAACCTCAAGGTTGCTCTATAGGAACATCCTATATTTTACCCGGGGCCCCCAATTCACTAAATCCACCCCTGTCAAAATCAACATACATTCAGAAGAAAAACTAAACTATAAATATACAGGCATGGCACATATACATAAACAATTACTCTTTTTGTAACTTAAGTGAGCGTCGTGCAGGGCTTTTTATAATAATAATTAAGATTTATATTTTCTGTCATAGGAGTTATTAGATGTTTATAATATGTTTATCTAGATGATAAAGTTGAATTTATTGTCTTTCTGAACATTTTTTTTTTCTATTTTTGCATGTGGTGTTGTCTTTGCTTATTTTTCTTTAGTTTGCCAAAACCAGGTAATTCAAACAGATTGCATAACATACGTAATACAATTTTGCTTTATTCCCATTTGTTAAAAATTATTTTCCATTTCTGACAGTAACTGTGAGCACAGACACCAGCACTGAGAACACATTAGTATTAACATGGTTTCATTATTCAGATTAATTAAAATACGGTATGAGCAACATATTTAACAATCTTTTTTACAATGTGTCCTAAACATGTTCAACACTCACATTTGCATCTTTGTGCTGCTGTCATATCTTTCTACCTATTCTCTCTTTCAGGTGGCACACAGAGGAGCGTTTCTGTCTGTCACAGAATTAGAGATCACAGGCTGTTCTCACATTTACCTAAAGGACTTTTGAGTGACTCCAACTAGACTGCAGTTGTCTGAAACTGAACACTATCCACCATTTTTGCAATGCGCAAGTAATTTTCAATGCAATGTGTGAGACTTCTGATTCATTAGACGTTATACTTTAGGTAAAAATCTAGAGGAATCATAAAGTGCAGCAAACTGTAAGACTATTTGTGTGTTTATGATAATTATATTAAATTAAAATAAGATAACAAAATGCCAGTTTGCAGTATAAAGCAGCATAACAGACTGCTTTTGTGCAGGTGAAATGTTGTACTGTGGCTGATTGTAAAGTGCTTTGGGTGTACAGCAATACACAATGAAAGCGCTATATAAATGCCTCATTCATTCATTCATTATATATCTGATTCCTGTATATCTGAGATGCTGTATTTTTTCTCTCAAATTGTGCTCTTTTCAGTCATTACTCCTAATAAATCTCATCATTTCCATCAATCTCTGTGTAAGGATTGGGAGCAGTACTGATGAAACGTCAGTAGTTTTCTTATTGTCCTTTTATGGTCATTAGTTCCTGTTTCCTGTTTGGTTGTTAAACTATCATGTGGTCACCCATATCTCTCCTTTTGGGTTCTAGGTCTGCAAGCAGTCTCTGGAGAAAAATGGTGCACCTCTAGAACAAATATCATTATAATACCAAATGGGTGAGTGTGCCAATTATGCGAATGTCGAATGCATTTTTGCATCAGTTTAAAGGGGTCATATGATGCTTTTTTAAAGATAATTATTTTGTGTATTTGGTGTAACAGAATATGTTGACATGCTTTAATGTTCAAAAAACACATTATTTTTCAAATACTGTACATTATTGTAGGTCCTCTATGCCCCGCCTCTCTCAAACACGTCGTTTTCAACAAAGCCCCTTCCTTTGACAAGCGCAGTCTGCTCTGATTGGCCAGCTGACCCAGTGCATTGTGATTGGCCGAACACCA